TCCCTTTCTGAGAGGCACGGCCGTGACTCTCGCGAAAGCACAACCGTGGCTATCGCGGAAGCAAAACCGTGACTCTCATGAAAGAAAAAAAAACAGAAAACACGTTTTTTTCCGTTTCCGAAAGGCACGGCCGTGACTCTAGCTAAAGCACAACCGTGCCTCTCACGAAAAAAAAAACCGTGACTTTCGCGAAAGGATAAAAAAAAGAAAACGCGTTTTTTTCGTGAATTTTTTTTGATCGAAAAGCTAAGGAAGACCGAGCGAAAGCCAAAACGTCGAAAAAACCGTTTAAAAAGCCGAAAACGCGTGCGGAAAAATAAAAAAACAAAATCCGGAGGGAGCATCCAGAGCGCGACACGTGGCGAATGGCTGAGAGCGCGCCAAGTGGCGCTGATTGTTGCGAGGCTCCCAAAGGAGCGCTCGTTAACTAGTTGCCCCCGTAAAAACAAAAAAAAATGAACTGGCCCGCATCACTAGTTTGGGCTGTTTTGTATTCGGCCCAGCAAAAAAAATCGTTTTCCTATTCGTTTTTAGCGTTTAGCTATGCAGTTTTTGTCCAAAATGTGTTTTTACGGTAATTGGTTGTTTATTATCGTATTGTAAAGCAAATTAGTGTACATGACTAAGCACATTATTGTATCAACATACTAAATTTAGCTATTTTATGATTGCTATAGGTTGATGATACATGAAAATTAATTTAGTGGAGAGTAAATTAATGTGCATGAAGATTTCATGCAGGATATGTTGGACATATCCCAGATAGAACCTGCAGAGTTTTCCTTTGATTGAAGTATGGGAAACGTTTGGGAGCGATGCGCCGGCCGCTTCATCGCGCAACGCGCTGGAGCGTGGGCCCTGTGCAACAGCTCACCCACCACTCGGTCCCACCCATTCGTTCCCCACGCCCCGCTCTCTCCTTCCTAGTCCAATCCAAGCCGGGGCAACGACGTCACCACCCGACGGCCATGGTTCTGCGACGGGGCGCTAGGGACTGACAGCGGGGGGATGCTTTTCAACGGCGGCGGTGGATGCTACAACCGCGGGGGATCACCGGAGCTGCACCGACCTCGACCGGCAACATGGCGGGGGGCGGCCCCATCGGTGCTACAGAAGATGCGCCATGGCCGTGCGCCACCTATCCCCCTCGCCCTCATGGCGCACCCCTTGGTCGTGCTACAATCCGGCGATGGTGAGGTTTGTGGCGACGATGACAGTGCGTGATTTTTGCTACAACAAGCAATGGAAAAGCTACCATCGGCGACGAGATTTGCTGCAACGGCGACGATGAAGTTTGTAGGGGGGGGGCACAGCGGGGCTGTGATGTTTGCTGCAACCGGCAAGGGAAAAAGCTACCACCGGCGGTCAATTTTGCTACAACCATCGTTTTTTCTACAGCCAGCGATGTTTGCCCAAATGAAAAAAGCTACAACCGTTTACATGAAAGCTTCAACCCTACATTTAAAAAGCTTCAACCCGCTTACATGAAATTGCTGGAACCGACTTTTCTTCCTCGATGATGGCCACGACGTCTCTCTATAGCAATTTTTTCCGCACTCTAGGTTGAAGCACCGTCGTCACCATTGTTTTTGCCAGTTGCAGCTTCCTCGCAGCATGGTCACAACATTTTTTTGCTGACGCGTTCCAGCAATCGGCGTCTGGCAGTCTCTCGCCATTGAAACAAATTACGTTGCCGGTTCCAGCTTTTGTCCATACAGTTGTAACATCGACGGTGATAGCATCACTGCTTCCGCTACTGCTCTGGCCGGTTGCAACTTTCCTGGTGGTCGGTTCCAGCTTTTTATCACCACGGTTGTAGCACCCCTGGTGATCGGTTCCAGCATGCATCATCACTGTCGCGTGGTAGCCGTCTCCAACACCGGCAGCGGCCTACAGAGCACGAGCGGCGTCCTGGGGCGATATTTTTTGCTACAACCGGAGGCCTTTTTTGTTGTGAGTAGCGATGGAATTTGCTACCACTGATGTACATGGTGGCATCGAAGCTACGAGCGGCGCCGCCGGCGAGCCTACGGGCGGCACCGGCAAGGCTTTGAGCGCCGCCGGCGAGCCTATGGGTGGCACCGGCAAGGCTTAGTCTTCATCATCCTTTCCTCACTAGGACCATGCTCTAATAATGAAGATCATCACACTTTTATGGATTTACAACTCAAGAATTACAACTCAAAGCTAGAACAAGATATGACTCTATATGAATGCCTCCGGCGGTGTACCGAGATATGCAATGAATCAAGAGCGACATGTATGAAAATTATGAAGGTGGCCTTGCCACAAATACAATGTCAACTACATGATCATGCAAAAAGCAATATGAGAAAAGTAATGCATGTCATATGAACGGGACGGTGGAAAGTTGCATGGCAATA